GGTTTTATCGCCTTCAATGGTAACAGCTGGGATCTGAAGGAGCGTTTACATACTTGTCTGCCTGCGGGTGTTTACTGTGATGTGATCTCTGGTGCGCTGTTGAATGGAAAATGTACGAGTAAAACGGTGGTTGTGGATGACTGGGGATACGCCGACATTGATTTGGGTGCAAATGAGTTCGATGGCGTATTGGCCATACATCTAAATGCCAAGTTAGAAGAACGCAAAGAGCGTAAGGCAGAAAAAATGGAACGAATGCTGATAATGGAGATTTATTCCGAGTGTCATGTGTACTATGTATTGCAAAATCAGTTGCCGTTTATACAGTTAAGTGAAACTGAAACCATATTTGCGAAAAAGAAAGAAAAAGTTTTGAATATTGACTCTCCAACTGCGGAGAAAAAGATTATTTTTAATACGCCAAATAGTAGTAATAAAGTAGCATATATTTTAGATAATTTAAGTATGCCGTATTATTTATAGTGTGACTTCTTGTTCCTAGCGCTGCGCCGATTGTTTTTTGCCCGASATTGTCGTAAGGAAAACACAAGTGTTCATTTACTGCCATAAGACTCAAATGAGTTTTTTAAAGTTACATCGCAAATACTACCAGTCTCTTTGAATCACGTGTATAGTTTAGTTAGTAATATAGTGAGATGAGAGCATGCCCGTCGATTCGAACATAAGTGTGATCTGACCAATCGACGAAAAAAGAGACTCCACAATCTGCACTAATTGCCGGGGGACAAGCCACCTTAATATCGCATATAAGGAATTATCGAGCGTAGTGTGTGAAATATCGAAGCCCACCGTCAACAAACTGATTGGACCTTATTAGTGTGACTTTAGACCTACAGTTGCCAGATATTCACCATGCGCCAAATCTTGGAAAAACCCCGTCAAGGCAAGATTGAAATACAACACCTCCTCGCCGATTTTAAAGACATCTTCGACAGCACGAAAAATCACTTTCTTATGTCGCTATTTCGGAACTTGGTATTCCTTCAAAGAAGATACGGCTATATAACCATATCAATTCCCATATCTTAGCAAACATTTTTTAAAAATTTCAAATACACATTTCTTTCATTTAAAAACGACAAAACTTTATTTGCTTCAAAAAACATACATTCACGTGATTTTTTCCATAAATACATATAAAGTATTGCATAATGCCATAATAATACTTTCAGTGAACCATTTTCTCTTACAATGGTGATAATGTTTAGGACTCTGTTGCTCTTTTAATGATTTTGAAAATATATTTTTTAAAAGTTTTTAATTATATTTTTTTAAATTTTTTCTTAATATTTTATTATTTATTTCAATAATTTTTTTTTTTTTTTTTTTTTTTTTTTTGTAATTTTACTATTTAATTTTCTTTACCAACTCTATAGTATATCATATGAATATTAATGTATGTATATTTTCTTATGAAATGCTATGAAATAAGTATTTATGACTTTTTCGCAAAGCAAATTCCCAGCGCTTTTTCGGTAATAAATATAAACTGCGCTTTTGCTCTCACTTACAAGTACCGTTTGTTAATATCTCTTTCAATTTTGAGTTATAATTTTATTTTATTTTGCAAGCTTAGAAGCTGTTTACACGCTGCGATTCTGTATTTTCTTCTACATTTCCTACTTGCATTTTTTTGTTACTCTCACTTTATAGCTAAATCAGTACGCCAACAACAACGATGATGTCAATTAACAGGCCAAATACAAAACAAAGAAAAAWTTTTTTTTTATGATTTTTTTAGTAATTTTTCTTCCCTTCTTCTTATAATCTGTGAAGTAACAACATTTTTCTTAATACACATAAACAGTTATTTACAGTTTTAACGACTGCCAATTCAATTTTTAGCGTAACAACTATGATTTAAACGGATTTGTAGCTATTTTTGTATGTGTCTATTTTTCTCTGCTAATTAACCTTTCAATTAAAGACTAATGTTAATCAACAATTTGTTTGTAAGTGGAAAATTTACAAATAGAGACTACCAGAGTATGGTAAATGCTATTTTTTTTTTTAATTTTTGTTATAATTTATATAAGCAAAATAATAAGAATCCACACGTTTTTCCAGCAACAATTTTCATTGGAAAATTTACTTGTCTGCAAATAGAAGGAGAATTCATATTTTATGTATAATTAAGATATTAAAATTGTCTACTAGGACAAGCAAATGTGTTTTGAAAGCAAACTTTGCATCGCGTAGCTTAAGAGTGAGTTTTGTTTTTGTTATTAGTAGGAGTATAAATGCATATAAAATATGTAAAAAAAAAACTTGATATTTGTAACAAAAAAAGTAACCAAAAAATTAAATTAAATAAAAAAAATAAAAAATA